AGGGATTACATCAAACATATTTTTTCTATATTTGAACTCATAAAGTTTGATATTGGGGTTTAATTGTTTATGATAAAAACTATGATTTTGATCGCCACAATTGGTCTGCATAAAAACACAACACAGGCGTACTTATTCCATTCGTCTGATGAAAATCGGAACTACAATAGAGTTCGTATCTCAGGGCAGAACCTGAATTCTCACTCAGGCCACAACTGGTCTCGAAAAAGTACTAAACTTTGAGTCAGCAGGGCAAAGTACTACGACCAATTAGCTTAACTCAATTCAATTTGAAATGATTTTGAGTGCGGTTCATCTGGCGTGCGGTTGCGCTTTCAGCAACGCATTCAAACAACGAATGCGCGCACGAGTTTGTCCGGAGTATGGCAAGCTGCCAAATTTAAAATCTCCTGAACTAAACAAAAAGGACTAAAGATGATATCTTTTTGGCAATTTCAGGATGGTTCGTGCCTCGCGAAAACAACACTATAGTTAGCCAAGTAACCCTAGCTTAAGTCCACAAAATTTATCAGAGGAAATCCGAGCATCTCACAGTATAATGTCAAGAAAGATATGATAAAAATGACCCAAACTACTCTTTAAAAGATTATTGATAGAATCCGGATGATTTTTTAAAGTGAAATTTAATTATTTAAGGATGGGCTTTATCCGCAATTTTAAAGATTAATCTTTTGCTTCGAGCTTAAATTTTTTGAACAAGACGACTACCTGCGAGTTTATCAGATATTCTCTGTTCAGTAAAGGTTTTATCGAAATTCTTATTTTACCAACACGTAATATTTTGCTTGAAAGCTTCAAAGTTTCATATCTATGTAAGTTCTGTTTTCAATATAATTTATGTTGAATAGTTATGTTTTTTTTATGGATTGAAGTTTCTTACTACTAAACATTACCCGAACTGATTTATGATGCATTTTTTCTAACTCATTTAACTTAGTCATACCAGCTGTTCCGTAAAGCAGAAAACCAAATTGAATTCTTGGTTAGACGTAACGTTTGCATGCTCTCACTATTTGAATGAAATTAACGTTTCCCTCAGAATAACAAAATCAAAAAAACGACGGATTTTTTCCAGTTTTTCCTTGGTAACTTCTGTCCGCTCAACAAAATTCAATTTGCGATCTAAGTACATTCCTATGTATTCAAATCTTGAGCCGTTCTCTAAATATGCTCCGCTCTTTTTGCCATTTTTATATTTTGTTTTTCCGGATTTTGTGAAATTAGCCAATTTAGATTTGTTAGTATTAAAGGCTAGCTTCTTTTCGATTAACCCATGTTTACTTAAGGCATTTCACCGTTCAGCGCGTCATTGTCCTGTTTGTTTATCAGATCCGCATCGCGCGCGTAAAAAACAGTATGAAAACGACTGCAACTTGTATCAATGACATTCATCTAAATAATGAAGAATAGGGGACCAAGAACAGATGTTTTCAAAAGTAAACGTCTCTATAAAAATAATCTGACATCTTTGGTTCAAATAGGATTTACTTAAGTCATTCACTCTCCCTCTAAGTCCAAAACACTGTAGTTTTTAAATAAGATAGAAGGCTCAGATGTATCAAACGCTTTTTTAAACACAAAAAAAACTCATATCACTTTTTAAAGATTTGTTTTACTAGATGTCCCAAATGTTTTGAGATAGCTCTATTAGCGCATCAAAAGTGTCAAGTTAAATATTTTTGCGATCATACAGCAATTGCTCAAAAATGTCACTTAGAGTGGGAAGTTTTGAAATGGATCTAAAATTTCCCGGTTCCGAGAGATCACCACTTTTTTGGATTGGAGTTATTTTAGTTACCTTGAAAACATCGGAAGAAATGGAGTACATTATGCAATGATTGAGGATGTTTGTTAGTGTTGGTAAAATAGCAGTTTTCAAGTTTTTCAGAGCACATATGTTAAAATTATAAGCACCTGTTCAAAATTTGTTGGGAAAACAGTTTATGTTGGAGACTCCAATTTCACTAGTTTTTACTATGAGTATAGGAAAGAAATTTGGTTTGGAGATAAGTTCAGTTTTTGGTTGATTTTTTAAACTTAACTGAGACCCAATTGTTGCAAAGTAATGATTAAAATTTTGGTCACATACATTTATAAAAGCCTAATTCAAGTTGCAGTTTTTATCTTTGCCAGTAACTTCCAAAAAACATTGAAGAACTGCCGGCATCCGATTTCTGATTTGCAGAAGAAATTATTTGATAAGTGTCTCTCTTAACTTTGTTTATAACATCTTTCAACCGATTTGTTTGGTAACAAAGTGTAATTTTAGGTTCCTGGTTTTAAAGACGCAAGTAATCACGGTAGAGTTTGTTTTTTGTTTACAGAGTTTTCCACTCGATTATTAAACAAGTTTCTTTATTGCCTTTAGTGCCCAATCTTTTTGCAACGAATCGTGATATTTCGCGATGTAACAACTCGCGATCTAAAAATTAATTCATCAGAAGTCGACTTGCAATATTTAATATCACAGTTTTTGCTTGACTTCTACTTCATTCTTGTGAACGCAACATCATTCACTTTTTGTGGCATTCAGTATTTTAACTTCACAATTTTTGATCGAATTGTTGTAAAAATATCAATCAGTCATTTAAAAATGTTTTTTTTTGTGAAAGAACAGATGAATGGACAAAATCAGTTAATGAATGATTGTTTTTCGGTAGTTAGATCTCAAGTGAATAATAATTTTACCCGCGCATCGAGTGTGTTCACTCATTTCAGGAACGTTAAGATCATTCAGATGACCCTATGAAGTTTCGATAATTTTTTAAAGTTCGCACGTGGGACAATGAAAAAAAAAACAGGTTACCATTGTATTCAACTTAATCGGGGACAGTTTGATCGTGGTGTTTGATAAAAAAAAGTTTATGTTCGTACGTTGGACAATGAAAAAAAAACAGGTAACTAATGTATTTGACTTAATCGAGGACAGTTTGATTGTGGTAATATGTACTTCGTTGCGCTGAGACTTTTTGACAACCGAAAAATTTGTTTCCGCTCATACATAAATGCCAGCGCCGCCTCCTCTTTTTTTACGACATCATTGTTCAAATGAGTGATAAACCCTTAACTTAAAAACTCGGGAATCTGAACTCTTTTTAGGCCATGTGGACAAATTGTGGACAAATTGAGCGACCTTCGACAAAAACTTGTTGCTCGCTAAATTTTCTGCTAAGTAATTTGATATTCTGAAGCCAAAAACAACGTTTTGAAAACTAGATTTTCCGAAGTCAAATTAGCTCAAAAAGAAACAGCAACAAGAGAAGTTTTCATAGGTGGGCTTTGTAATTGCAAGCCACACGCGTAATTGCTGACTCCTTCTAGTTTCTGCTTTCTAATCGTTAAACAAACAAAATATATATAAACACAAAAAATTAAACTCGAATCAAAATTTCTAAATTTCTATTGAGGAAAATTATAAAGCTCATATCTGCTATACGAAAGATTTCGCAGTTTTAACTGGTTAGTTTATTTCCTTCTGGAGAGATTTTCGAGCTGTCAGTGTTACCCCCATTCGGATTATTGCCAATTATAGGCTTCGATGCTAATTTTCAAACCGCATTTCGACTTTTGCCCAAATCTTCCACCTTGTTTATATTTACGAGCGAATATCGTTCCGGTCATTCCTTTTTAAATTTATTACTGAAACCACGCCGTGTTTTGTTTGTAAGGTAAATTTTTTAAAGAGCAACCTCTTTTCATCATTCGGTAATCGTTCATTCAAAAACACCGGTTGATGATTTTCTTTTGAATTTTTAAATTTTTTAAAAATCTTCTTGCTCCAAAAAATATATTTTTCTTTTTAAAAAAAACTTTATGTATGAACTGAAATAAGAACCACCAAGGAATTCAGGCAATTCATAACAGGCTTTAATATCAAGTTGACTTACGTTTTTGTTTTCTTTTTCAAATATTTTCAGAAAAAAATGTACCACATCATTCACAAGGTTTGCACTAGCTCGTGCAGCAAAGGGGGGTAAGGGGGTGTTCCTGATTTTTATGCAATCTTTGCTTCAGTCCCTTTCTAGTACTCTAACCCTATCAATCATATCATCAAGCCGGGCAGATTGAGCCACACCCTGGTCATCTTGTTTCTTACTTTAAATACTCGATATCTCGTCTTCGATCAGCATTTTCACGTTTGAGGGCCTGTATTTCTTCCATCATCTTGAGTTGACTGGACTTTGATGGGTTCTCAGCATCCATGATAGTCAAATAACAAGTATAAACCCGAAAAAAATTGAAAATTTTTTTTGTAAGAACAAATCTTTTAAATCCTAAAGGCTAAATTCAGTGCAAAAATCAAGCGAAGTTTCAGCTTTAAAGTTTTCTTTTGAAGGTCAAGCAAGCAACTGAATCTCAGCTTTCATTCTCTCTATTTAATAGGTTCATCACAACAATAAGGCTATTTTATAGACAGAGCAACTTTTCTAAGGTAAGTTAGATTTTCGAGAAAAAAAGAAATTTTTCTGTCATTAACGTAGTTCAGGCTCGATTTTTCACACAAACTGACCACAAAAAGATTGTTTTGTTTGGAACGTTGGTACCTTTTTGCTTTTATGTTCTAAAAATAAGTGAAATATGATTAGAAATAAGTCACATATGACAGACGCTATATTTCCTCAAATTGAAAGTTTACTATCCGCATGCAAAAAAAGTTTTTTGTTATGGTGTTGTGTTAATGCAAAACAGTACAATACTTGGCGCATTTTCTCTTGCAGTTAACCGGTGCATTTTTTGCCAAGTAATCTGTGAGAAAAGTTTTTGGTGATTGTGGTTCCGAACAAAACATAAAAAAGTTTATAGCGAAACTCGAATTTTTCTTAATATAAAATGTTAGTCTTTTTTGAAATATGGAACAGAATTAAATTGTATGACAAGAATTCTTTCATATATGAAAATTGTATTAAAGACTTTTTTGCTCAGCCCGAGTGTAAAAACAACTTTCGCACAAAATCGGACAATAAGTTGTTACTTTTCAGAAGAAGAAATAGCAACTTTACATGCAGACAAGGAAGCCGGGGATGATGATGATGTGATGCACGCAAAACACGATATTCAAAATGCCATTACAATCTCAGAAGAACCACCGGAATCTCAAACGCTGGTCTACGAAATATTGAAGTAATAAGTATGCTAAATCTGTAATTAAGTGTATAGGCGGCCAAATTAACGTTTTGTACTTATAGATTTCTTTAGCTATTGCTCCCCTGGTACCTAGTTGCCATCCCGACCTGTCACCTCTCAAAGAACTAATTCAACAGTTAAGCATACTTGAATTTGGTATCTGGTAACGAATTTCTCTCCCCCTTTTTGCGAGAGGGGGGAAATAGTTAGAGAGATCCATACATATCACATGCTCATGTACCATAAAGTAATGAAATTTATCGAATTATAAAATTATGTTTGTCTTTTTTGTCCAAAACAACGAAGCTGAGGTTGAGGAACTCTGAATTGAGCGTTTTGGCTGAAGTGTTTTTCCTTAAATTTCAATTGCAATCGGGTGACATATCAAAGATGTGAACTGAAAAATTTGCAGTGCTTTTTCGGCGCAAATAATTCTGCTATAATTTGAATTTCAGTAACCAAAATCAAACCAAAATCAAACTTGATTTTTGCATCCTTTTCTTCCGTCGACCAATTTTTCTTCCGTTATGACGACCACTCTCGTAGAGTATAACGGGACCAAGATAACATTCTCCTCCCCAAAGCCGTTTGAAGAGGAGTATGTTAACTTGGTTGTAATTCAGGAATTCTCAGCCAATCAGAATTGAGCACTTTGCATGCAGCGCTTAGCAAAGTTTAATACGATTTAAATGCTGAGATGGAAGATCTTAACTTGGTCTGCCTGGGGAAGGGGAAGGTTTAATTTGAACCGCTGTTTATCAAGTTAATGAAGTTTGACTGACCATTTCTTCAGAATAAATTGTAGAACCAAGACTCCATAACGCCTATTCCTTCAAACTGCTTTTGTCAAAATTCTAACGAAATTTCAGACCGTTTTACACATCTGAAAATGAATAATAACCCTTTGTACCAAAAAACAGTAGTATGATAAAATGGCGTTTTTCGCATCTAAATGAGTGGAAAAAATTGCTAACAATATAAGTTTGAAAACTGCAGCATTGTCATTAACTCAGATTCAAATGTCACCCTTGGACAATGAAATGGATTAAAAATCGATAATAATCCACTAATTTGATATTTTTTAAAATATATCATAATCCAATAAAATCCTTTAATGGATGTTAAATGGATTACAATCAGAGTTTTGAGTGTTAAGAACGCAGTGGAGCATAGTCGATCTATAATCCATTTCCTTGTCCGAGTGCCACATGTACACCGATGTTATTGACAAAATTTTAGTCTTCAAAAAGCCATAAAAAATGCAAAAACGTTGTGATTGTACGGTCAGATGGAATTCAAAAATTGCTCAAAATAAAAAAAATGTAACAAAAAACTCAAAGTAACAAATTAATGCAACGCGTGTGTTAGTCAACGTAAAATTTGAAGAATTATTTTCTCTATAATGATTTCATAATGCCAAAGGTATTTTCAAAAAGATGCAATTCAATCATAAAATCGGAAAAACCAATCATATTGAATTTTATTGATTGTTCCAGAAATATAATCAATTATTACTTCAAAATAATCAATTTTTTTTTGGCTTTGTGATTGTTTCTCGAATATGACATTTTTTTTGTGTATGACTTACAAGAAGATGATTTTTCTTCCGATAGCACTACAGAGTGGTGTGCTTTAGATAGAATTGTGCGCACTCGGATTCAGCTGTCGCTGGTCAATAGCAAGTGCTGAAGGCTTACTCGATTTGATGGTCCCTAATAAAGCACTTAAAACCAGCTGTATTATAATCGGCTGATCTGTTGAGTTGTAGCTTTATGTTTCAAAATGTGATCTGCTTCTGTCACCGAACTTGTTAACAGCATTTAAAAAACACTTGATGGACGAAATGGCTGTTTTAAACTGCTCAGATCCCGTAGCTATCAAAAAAGTTTACTTTGAAAGCTTGACTACTGCTGTTCATAGCAGTAGTTAATGTAGTAATTCCCCATGATTTTGCGTGAAATAATCTACGTCTCGATTCTGCGTTAAAACATTTATTCTGCTTGCGTATTTCGAGCTCTTTGCCTAATGCAAAGCTGGCTTTTTGGACTGGCTTGTTTCGTCTATCTGAGATGTCTTGTGTCTAAAAAGTCCTACAAAGGTCTAGAGCATCTATTGCAGACCAACATGACACAGTTCTCTCAAGCCCTTGTTTTCAAGCAATTTCTTTGGTGGCAATTTCATCTGGTAAGGCATGGCATCATTCTCAGCGATATGGTGCGGCCGGTTGCTATGTCATCCCAAGATGCAAATTAGGATTTTGACAAAAATGACAAAAGCTAAAGAACGAATCTTTTCCTAATTAGTTCAAACACCGCCAACTTAAATTAATTAATAATGATATATGCCATTCTTGCAATCTATATGAGTTGAACTAAAGAGGAAACATAAAATTACGCGACTTCGTTTGTTAGCCATTATTTAAAAAAGCTGTAACTGAGAATGTTTTTCTAAAAAAAAATTTTTTTTCTGAAGTTTCCCTTGATTTTTGGGTGATTTTTATAACCTGGGCTCACCAGCTTGCATCAGAATTGTAAATGATTGACTTAAGGAAATTGTAGCGTACTGCGCGGTTAACTTACCGTAGAACGCGATGAGATACGCATTGAGATGACCTATTAGTAACTTTAGTTTTTCAAACCGAGAGGGCGGATTTTGCTCGAACGTTTTCTCAACGTACCTGTACTCAAGGATTTTCAACGTAATTATCTAATGTTTGTTGCTTTCTCGCAAATTTTAAGGAAAATTGCAACGTTGACATTCACGACAAGTGAGTTTCCGAGAAAAATAGTTATTTGAGACAATAGTTTTTGTAAATCATGTAGAGCAGCTCAAAAAGGAAAAGTTCTTTTGAACCTCCAAGAGTTTGCAACAACAAGCAGCTGCAATAAATTGAAAAACAAGAAAACGATTTTATCAAAACAAACCATTTTATAACATTTTACAACATATCAACCATAACTTATCATATTTTTCCAAATCGGATCAAACATAATAAACATTACGAGGCCAAAATGTGCTCTGGATAGGCGCACAATTGTGTGTCCGTATGTTCTTGGATTCCAGAAACATGTTCGAAAATTTCCGTGAATTCCGCGTACAAATAATTTTAACGTAAAATTTGTCGGCACATTCGTTGTGTCGCGGAATCCGTAACAAGCGGATATAGCTAGTTGTTCTAGATTCCGCAACTGTAAGCGGATTCCGCAAAAAGTAAGTGAAATCAGCAAATTTAAGTGGAATCCGCAAACTGTCAGTGGATCCTGAATTTTGTTTATTACTGAAGTTGCATATGAACAATTAAAAGCTAGAGCTGGAATTATTATCTTCAGCAATGAGGAAAATAAAAGCAAGGGTTTAACTATTGTCAGCGAATCCACAAACAAATCTGAAAACATTGCTTAACTAAATCGGTGGATGTCATCTTTTAGTACTTAAGATACATATCCCAGCAAACAATTTTTGGGATCAACGTTTTGGAAACGCAAAACCGAACAAACTCATTATTCGGAGTCATTAGGTTAGAAACACAACGCAGAACGTATCGCCAATATATGTCAATTTTTGGGAATTCAGAGATCTGAAATACTGATAAATATTTGGGGTTGATGGAATCCCAAATACTGAAATACTATGGAATAAATATGAAATAAGTTCATTATTTGGATTCATTGAGTTGAGAGAGTTTAGAAACACAATGGTCAGCATATCGCCGAATTAGGTCAGTATTTGGGATTCCTTCGATCCCGAATACTGGTCAGTATATGAGATTTCATCAATCCCAAATACTGAAGCTGGGTGTTTGACTGAAATTGACATCAAACATTAGGCATTTCAACAGGTAGCTGATTATTGTAGTAGTTTAGTAGTTGAGATTGATCTTGCTGGTTTTCACTTAATAATTAAAAAATATAAATTTAATCACTTCTAGCTATATACTTATATGTAAACGCAATCCGCAAACAAAGTGCGGCTTCCACTTAAAATTTGCGGATTCCATTTTAATTTTGCGGGTTCCGCAACTGCTCAATTTAAATATACACATGTTTTTTTTATTTGCTTGCGGATTCTACAAACTGTTTTGGATTCCGCAAATGCGGTTGCGGATTCCGCAAATTTGCCTATTTTTGCAGCAATTTTAAGGGGCACAATTTTTTAGTTATTTGTTTGTGGAACCCAAAACAGCAAAGCAGATCAAAGAAAAGTAGCAATATTGCGGATTCCGCGACGACAAATCTGATTTCGCCCTGCTTCGGAATCAACTTACAATGCACAGAATGCCCATATTGGCCTCATAATGTGAATTTTTTGTAATTTTCAATACGGCACGAAAATTTTTTAGATTATATTAAAAATTTTGCCGAACGCAAACAAACTGTCGTTTTTTCTAAAATCAGAAAAAAGCATTTGATCCTTTTGTTCTTAATTGCAAAAATCAGTTTGATGGTTCTTTGATACGACTGTTATTTCTCTTTAGCTATTCTCAATAGCAGATCAAAAAAACTTGAAACAAATTTTCAGAAAAAATTACCGCTTCGTTTACCCGAGAAAATTATGTTTATTTATTCATATACTTAGTTTTAAGTCACTCAAGTTTTAATTGATTGTTCAAATCATTCCACAGGCATATTTTATATTTAATTTGTTGTTTTAAGTTGTGTGGTATTTAAAACAAACAACTGATGATTACCATGTAAGGGCAATGATTTATTTTTCTTGGGTTTACTACGTTAACTTCATCCAAAAACTTATCCATCTCTGTAGGTAATCTGTAAATAATCCACATAAAATTGGTTATATCATCCTATGTTTTCCATTTCTCGCGATTTTGTTTTTAGGGAACATTAAATTTGACCAGAATAAAAAAAAGAGTTTTGTGCAACTAAGTTACTTGAGAAAAAACTTCATAAAAACTGTGGAGGTGGCCAAAAACAAAAAAAAATCAGCGAGAATTTCAAATGTTTGCACCAACATATAGCTATAATTGATTGAAAAAAAAGCTGAAAGAAATCCAGATTAAACTTTGAACCATTAGGCCAAAATATTTAAAACGACAATTTAACTTTGTTTTTCTGGCAGATATCGAACTTTTATTTGGTGTAAGTCGTCGTTTTATAAGAAATTGTTCAGATGTTTAAGCAAAAATTTTGCTTTTGTGTAGTCTTAGTTCGAGTCC